CTTGCACAAAAACACATCTGTTGAGCAAGAGCAAATGGCAGTGTGGATGTGCTCTTGCTCAAGACCTTTTGCACAAGAACTCTTGTGCAAAACAGTTCTTGTGCAAGAAGCTTGCAGTGTAGATGAAGCTTAACTGGTTTATTTACAAGTTTAAGGAGCAAACATAAAATGAATCCAGTTGTCATAAACTAAGATTGAGAAAACCCTAAACCCCACAACAGAACAGTCCTACCACCATCACGACGTCTGGAGCTAGAAGGGAAGTAGATGCCTTCAGGCTGGAAAACTGCGGCAGAGACAGGGACGGACTGTAGGGTTCAGATTAAGTGAGCGGTCCTCTTCCTTGATCTTCAGTCTTCTATTTTTGTCCTGAGTGTGATATGCAGACCCTAAATGAAATGGATGGTGTGCATGTGAGACTCACCCTATCACAGACCGAACTAACAAATCAACCCTGTCCTAACAGTCGCTGCACTGGAACAAACTGGCTTTAACCCAAGCGATCTAAAAGGTTGAACAGCCTGCTGGCTGCCACCCTAGCACTGCCTGTTAGCTTCTGCCTCAGAGGCCAACAAGGCAACACAGTTGCCAGCTGTTGCCACTGGGCTAGCTTGACTTCTCTGTCTTAGAGGTCAATGAGGCCAAACAGTTGTCACCTGTCACACTAGCACCACTGAGCTGTGCTGAAGGTGTGCACACAGAGATCTGGCTTCTGCCCCAGACAGCCTACAAGGCCAGACAGCCTGCTTGCTGTCGCCATAGCACCACTGCATGGTGCTGATGACATGCACACAGAGAGCTCTGGGGGGAAGGTGAGCGCCCTCTATAAACGCTCTCTGGTTGTTGGGCAGATTAGAGTCACGTGCCTAATTTTCCCCACCACTGTTTTCCTCCTGACAGGAAATGGTTACCAGGGGACTGGTCGTCATCTTAGAGGGAGAAACCTCCTTGTGACACCCTTTTAGATTCTTGAAAACTGCTATAGTGTCCCCTCTCAGTCTTCTATTTTCTAAACTAAACAAGCCCAGTTCTTTCAGTCTTCCCTCATAGCTTATGTTTTTTAGATCTTTATCATTCTTGCTATTCTTCTCTGGAGCTTCTCCAGTTTCTCCACGTCTTTCTCGAAATGTAGTGCCCTGATCTGGACACAATACTCTAACCAAGGGCCATTCAGTGCAGAGCTCTCTAATGGCAAGCCTTCACCAACACCTACTAGCCCTGAGTGTCAGGATGTGTTCTTAGGTCAGGTCGATACTGGCAGAGAAAATTGATGCAATATACGCAACTACAGCTACATGCATAGTCTAGCTGGAGTTGATGTACCTTGTGTTGATTTTCTGAAGTAGCCCCACAGTGGGTGGTTGATGGAAGAAACACTGCTGTAAATTTCCCTTACTCCTTGCAACAACTGACACGGGCACCCTCAGCATTCAATTTAGCAGGTCTTTACTAGACTTTCTAAATTGAACCCTGAAGATCAATTGCCAGAGTGTGGATTCTCTGGTAAGTGGGGAAGTGGCCGTTAGGGCCTGATCCAAGACTCACTGATATCAACAAGATTGATATCATTGACCCATTGACCCAAAAAGCTGCTGGAGTGAGACCACCAGATGTTCCTGAGTTGGTCAGAGGGGTTGCAAGGTTAGTGCATTTGGATGGGTGCATCCGTTTTAGGAGCTTCTCCCTTCATTCCTCAGTTTGCTCAGGCCTCCTCTTGATGCTGAACTTCAGTGCACCTTGTCCATGCGCTGCTGGCTTTTGGGAACCACAAACCTGCAGCAGTACAAACCAGCAATGTGATGCAGGAGTCAGCTCTGGACCACCATTGACCCTCTTCCTCGGTTTTGTTTACTGCTGTCACACAATAATGAAAGCAGCTCAAACATGCAGCTATCCTGTGAGTTCTTCTGTTGCTTTCAGATGCCAACACATCGCAACCTTTAAATTACTTCATTGTGAGTAGAGGCAGGTCTCAACTTGCCCAGCACTGTCTCTGTGATTATTCCTTACTATAATGTTACCATAGCAACTAGAATGCTTCCCTAGTCAGGATGGTTTATTATGTCAAGGTAAAACTCCACTAGCAGCGTTGAAAACATCAGCCCTTCCGTCACACACGGATATTGATTTATGTTTGGGTTCCTCTTGTTTAAATGACTATCCACACACATTTTTCTTCTTTTTGTTGTTAGACAAATTCAAAACAAGAAACTTTTTCATTAAAGACAATGATGGGTCCTAATGAATGATTTCTGTCAGCAGTGATGCAGTACATAAAATACTTTTGTCTTAGAAAATTCTAAGCTTCTTTTACAGCTGTGTCTCTAGCTTCAAAACACCAGAAACAATTCCTTACAGGCAAATACATTGTGACAAACTCCATTCCTAATTTCACAGGCAGGAACGTGAGGGCAAGCACCTTATAGATTGTTATTTGATATGATTGATCCAAAATTATAGACCTTGAAGAAGCATACAATAACTCCTCAAAATGTCAGTCATGCTGCATGCAAAAAACAAATCAATCTCCCCCTTCAGTTATTGATAAAATTAAATGCAGTGTGGAGGAGGTGAAACCTGTATTTAGGTCTTCAGATGGTGTGTGATCATTTTTGAAAAATTTCATCCTGAGCTTTGTGGCACAAAGGCTAACAATGATTGCAACCAATGTTTCCATTTCTCTGCTGCAGACGGGAGAGGAAGGGATGTGTGTGAGGGGGTATGGTCTTGCTTCTTAAGCTGATTGCCTTTCCGTCATTGTTTTGCATCACTGGCACTTTTAGAGTTACACTGTGGCCTTCTCTGCTAAGTCAAAGAACCACTGGCTCACAAAAGGCTTTTCTTACATTACAACTCATTTGAAATGTTGGTCTGGCCATACCCTCACTACCAACAGTCAGTGACAACCCAGATCCAAAAGGAAGGTTCACAGTCTCCTCACCAGAAGCAAATGGGATAAAGCTTTCCTGGTCTGTGGTGCCATAACATCATCCAAGAGCACCCGCATATCCTGCCTGACATTCAGATTGGGAACAGGAGTCACAATGGGCGGGCTCAAGCCCTCAGGTAAAGAATAGCTTTGCCAGCATTCAGTCTCTTCCCCCAAGCTATCAGCCTCTTCTCATTCTTACCTGGCTTGATCTGCAGCAGTTCTCTTCCCTGCGTACCTCCTCAGCCTCCTCACTCCACTCCCAACAGCCCCCTACTCACAATACCTTTTGAACTGGCAGGGAGACAAGATGGATCTCTGCAGGACACCACATTAGAGTAAGGGCTCCCTCCTCGTACTGCCTGCTCACAATGCTCAGCCAGACAGGTTGCATGGGAAAGGGCACTTCATTCATTCAGTGTCTTCTTTCATCATGGAGTGGAGATAGCCCTGGTGGTGTCTGTCTCATACACAGGGCTTTACCCAAACGGCCCAGAGTCAGAGACATGTTATGGTGCCAAGGCCATCAGAGAGTTCTCATACCTTCTAAAGGATCCTCACCAGAAATTCTGGGTAGAGCCAGACAGGTTGCATGGGAAAGGGCACTTCATTCATTCAGTGTCTTCTTTCATCATGGAGTGGAGATAGCCCTGGTGGTGTCTGTCTCATACACAGGGCTTTACCCAAACGGCCCAGAGTCAGAGACATGTTATGGTGCCAAGGCCATCAGAGAGTTCTCATACCTTCTAAAGGATCCTCACCAGAAATTCTGGGTAGTAGCTAGCCAAGCTGTCATTGTCATGGCTTGGTTTTTTGAGCTGTATCTTTTTGAGAAGCTGGCACCTACTGTCCCTAGTGCAGGCCCAGAGAATCTGCCTCCCACACTGCCCCCTCCTCCCCTCCCCGACAGTGGAACTGATACTTTGCCAACAGCAAATGAGGCATGGCGCCTTATTATTGCATTTCTTCCTGCTCAGTGTGTCTTCCCTTAAAAGAAAGCTCCAGTGAGTCAACAGCAATAATGTTCCATTCAAGTATTTGCTGATACTGTTTACAGAAAGATAACATGTCCTTGCAAAGAGAGTGGTAGGGAATTCTAAAGGCCCACTGTATTCCTTTGCTAGTGAAAGCTACAAGCTTTGAGAGCCTCAGACCATTAATTATAGCTGTGGCACTGATAGCTAACATTTGACAAGGATTAATTAGAAAAGTCTGCAACACTCCTTTAATTATACATTAGCATTTGTGGCTGTCCACAGAAGGAATTCCCAGTCTCTCGCCTGCCTTGCCTCCAATCCCCGCTGATTGGGTCTCTGCAGCATCTTCTACCAGTGTGGCTCATGTCTTCCATTTGCTGGTAATGGTTTCTCCACAAATGCACTGATTTAATAGGGTGCAAAGGTTAACTACTTCCACTTACTTTGCCCTTTCATTGGAGTCTAATTTTGGATCACCATGAGGCTCCTGGTTCCCAATGAAGGTTTCTAGTTCTGGCCTATGTTCCATTCCTAAAAGCTGTTTTCATAGAGGCAAATCATGAAATGCTTCTGAATGGAAGGAGTTAGTTCCACTGTGTGTGCTGTTCATATCCAGCCCACAGCCAGACATTTATTTTTCTCTTATAGATTATAATTATTTCCTCCTACCAAAGAGAGTTCTGGAGAAACATACCAGAGAGTAACAATAGTGTGTTTTAATTCAGCTTCATTGTATCATCTTTGGATAGTGACAGAAATCAAATAAATCCCATGCAACCCATTTTGAGGCATGCCTTGGTATGTCAGTTTGATGAAGTACACTGTATGCAATGTGATCTACCTTAAGTCATGCATTCTCTAGTTTACTCTGAGTCATTTATGTTGAGATCAGTTATGCTCAAAAATTGCATTTACTGAAACAAGTCGAGTTAATTTACCTGCAGTCAGAAATTCCCACTTTGAGGCAATGGTTCAATTGACACTAGAAGATAAGAACAGGTTTCTGGATACAAGGACATGTCCTTTCTGACTTTGCGGCTATATCAACTCATGTAACATTAACTAAAATGTCTATCTTTTCATTGTTGCTTAGGATGAACACAGAAATCAAAGATCAAGAAATGAACCGACCAGCTTCTGCACTCAGTGCTAGGAGAGGGGAATACGGAAGAACTCTGGGTGAGGCCAATTTTGGAAAGGATGGGAGCCATGTGGTTGGTTCTCGAAGATGGGAATTCGGAAGAACTATGGAGAAGGAGGAGATTGACAGTCAGAAAAAAGTTGTTGCTAAATTAGGAGCTACATCTCCATTGCTGATAAGAAAGAGGTCATCTTCTACAGCAGGAGAGGCATCTTTTCCAAGCTCTTCATCTGCACTTTCTGAATATGTGGAAGAGCTCAGGAGGAAAAGGGCAACAGAGAAACAGTCAGGAACATTAGGGTTAGAGGACACTTCACCCCTTCCAATCTACCAAACAACTGGTGCCTCCTCTCTGAGAAGATGCAGGACTTTTAAAGAGGATGATGAGTTCCCAAGAATGTTTGGAGTCACTGAACGTACAGACAGTGAAGGAGTGCCTACAGGAGCAGGCCTAGTGCGCTCCTCCAGCTTAAAATGCATATCATCTCAGAACACTGAGCCAGCGCGCTCCCCAGCTCTCAAAAGAATGTCAAAGTTTGGCTCCTGTGACTCACTTTTACTAAATATGGATAATACTTCCCTGACACTGAGTTCACCAGCTGTGGGAGTGGATGCCTTCAATTCATCGAGACTTAAGCCATGGAGAAGTTACCTGGAGCCATCATTAGAGGATGCAGCCAATGTTGATCTGGGGAAAGATGCTCTGGTATTTGAGAGTAAGCAATTCAGTGATGTTCCAAATGAAGGAAAGGGAAGTGACCCGTTCACTTGGAAAATACCAACTCTCAACTATGAAAGAAGAACAAATGTTGACTTTGACGACTTCCTTCCAGCAATTCGAAAATCCCAGTCAACAAGCAGTTTGTCCAGGCCTATCAAAGACAAGAGAGAAGGTCAGAGGCCAATGAGTGTTCATTTTGAAGACCAGATTACAGCAGATAGCACTGTGTTGTCTAAGATAAAGACCATTTCAAAGGCCAAAGAGGACCCTGGAAACCTCTCTGACTCATCTTCATCCTCTGGCTCAATCATTTCTTTTAAAAGTGCAGACAGTATCAAGAGCCGGCCAAAGATCCAAAGACCAGAAGGTGAAGGATGTGCTGGAAAGCTAATCACTGAAGGTGCTAAAGAGGAAAGGCGATGGGAGGCTGAAGGGAAAGAAGATGATGTAAATAACATTATGATGAAATATCTAGGAAAAGACTAAGGTAACTTGCTGAGATACTAACTAGGCCCTGTCTGTATGATTAACACTTAGCTTAGATTTGGTTAGCAGTTATAGGTTTGCCATTTGTGCCACTAAGTGAGAGGCTCTGCCCAGATTTCCACTGCAAATTCTCCTCTCCAGATGCTTCTGGCCTGGAACAGCCTAGTGCTGACTAATAAGCAAAACTCTGACCATAATCTACCATTCTACTTGACTTTATTGACTGATAAAATTAACATAATGAACAATCGTCTCTTGGTGATCCCTCCATCCCAGATTAGGGCTACATTCTATCCAGAGCAGGATTGGCCACAAGACAGCATACCCCTCCCCCAAGCACTTCTCCTGCTTCAGAGGCCAAAGTGCCCCAGCCCTCTTACTACATCAAGAGAGCAGGCTGTGCTGCTGCCCTGTGCCCAGGGAGTCCAGATGTGCTTGGCCCTCATGCAGGCTGTACAAGGGATAAAGGATGGCTCCTTGCCCTCTCCTGCGCCCTGCTATGCAGACCCTGTTCCAAGTGATCAGCTTACTAACAGGGTCTGTGCTTATCCCCTAGCCAGGGGAAGAGGCGTCCTGCTCAGGGAGTGACGGCTCTGCCAGCGTCACATGAAGGAGCCCGGTTCCCCATTAACACCGGTGCACAGTGACCATGAAGCACCACCATTTGGAGCGTTTTAAACCCACTGTGTTGCTGTGGGGAATGGGAGAGCAGGCTGCTTTGAGCCTAGCTTAGCCCCTCGCCCTTACCTAGTCACTGCGGTATCATCACCTTGCTCTTCTCACGCCGTATGGCACAGAGAGTCTCTGGGTTGGTTCTGAGACTGCATCCCTACAATTTTGCTTGTTTTATTAATCGCAAACGTTGACAAGCGTGAACCCCAAAACGCACCCCTCCAGAGAAGGTGGGTTTCGCTTCCAGTCACTCTTGCCCTCTGTATTCTGCATTTGCTTCTCACAGCCAGATGGATCGAGTTCTCTTACTGCCTTGGATGCTTCCAGAATTAAGATTTATTGCTGCGACCTAGGTTTGAAAGCACACTCCCTAATGAATGCATCATAACGGGAGCACTGTTTAAAATAGATTAAAAAGATGTTTTGTAAAAAATGCAGCCTTTAGACAGGCTTATTGGATATCAAGCTGTGACCAAATCTGCTACACCAACACAGGAGCAGAGGACGTCTTAATAATCTATTTCTTTAAGGGAATTGGCACTTGCATAATAAGATGTCCCAATTTCTCCCAGACTTAATGATAATAAGTGGTACCTATAAACAATAAAGCGCAGTAACATCCACCAGTCAAAAAACGATGCCTTTTGCTTGGAAATGAGAGCAGGAGTGTCCCAAAGAAGAACTTAAATGAACAAGCCCCCTATGCTGTCAGCTAACACATAAAGGACAGATGTTTGTTCGCATTAGAAAACTCTATAGCACAACCAGAGAGCAGTTTCAATATTGCCCATCCCAAATTCAGCTGCTCAGAATGGTATGTGGCATCTGTAGCTTGCTTGGGAATTGTTCTGTATCGAGTTCCGGGGTCTGAATACGTCTCTTAACCTGCTTCTGGCTTTCATTGGCTTCTTCTTGTCTGGAGCATGCTAAGCTTCCTGACCAAAAGCACAACAATATGAGAGACAGAGATTTGATGTACGTTATAATGGGAAGCTGTGTTTTGACCACTGCTTGCTTTATACAAAATAAAATATTAACTTCTTTGACTTAAGCCTCTTCTCTTCTTTCCTTTCCTTGCAGTGAGAACAGACAGCTGAAAACAAAATGCTTGTATTGAAAAAGGCCACCCCTACGTAAGTGCAGCCCACTGCTGTGGTGAGGTTCAGGGGATGTTTCTCAGTGTAATGCACACTCCTTAGAGCCATCTGCACTTAAGTCTTAATAAACAGCATTTCTGGCAACCTTTACTTCAAATGGATTTTTGCTTTGTCATTTAATCTGTGCACTCAAAATTCTAGCTTCCCAGGAGAGAGCAAAACTTCCAGTTTTTGATGTTTTTTTTAAACTAGGTGTTTGTAGCAAAACTGTGAATCTCTTCAGAAAAACTCTGTCATTGCCAAAGTCTGCCTCTTCAAACTGTTGGCATGTTGACTTGCTCTTCTTGTAAGGTTGAGTTAGGTGGGTGTTATAATTTACATGCTAAATACTTTTTGGCATGGCCAGAAATTTGCACGTAGGCAAAATTCAGTGTTGTGGGCTTTAGAATTCCTCATGCTCCTTTTTTGCTGCATTTTTAATTTAAACCAAACCTTTGCAGCAAGAAGCATTTCCTTTCTCACAGATGGCTGTCAAACTTTCATGTTAGGGCTCATGTAAGCTGTTACAATATACACAAAACTGGCTAATCATTTCCACCTTTTCTCTGGCCTTCTGCAGTCCCTACCACCACCATCTTCAAGTTTGAAGATGAACACGAGCAGAGAACACCTGACATTTTCATGTTTTCTCATGCCGGTGTCTGGCCCCTTAGTAACTTTTCCTGGTCCTAGTGCATTTTTCTAAAGCCAATAATGGAAGAATGGTGAAGTGGCATAATCTACCTCTGATTACAGCTGCACAATTTTAACCCATCTAGTTAATGGCTTGAATATTATTCAAAGCAAAACCAATCCATTCTGTTTTCCTCCTGCTTATATAAATAACCTAAGGAGGAAAACGAGATAATGACCATTGGTGTTTCCAAAAGGCTCTAAAAAGTTCTGCTGAAGTGCAGTCATAGTCATGGTAGTGTCATGGGCTCATCTCTAGCTGTAGAGTTCTGTTGTCCCTGGGGCTTATTTTAACTTGTGCTCTGTGTACTGCAAACTTTATGAATGCACCAGCCATCATGGCTTATGTCTTTTTGTTATGGGGCTTGTTGGCAATTCCTCCGTTGGTTTGACAAACACCTGCTCCTCTCTTGGTGAGAACACACAATGCACCTTGAGGTGTTTGAGAGAATGCCAGTTTGTTACCATCCCTGACTAGAGAAGAATTGTGTCTTTGTGTTGCTCTCTAGAGGAGAAAGAATGACTGGCTGGTTTTATACTTATCAAGCAAGGATATTAGTAGAGCTGGATTAAACAACAAAAAACTTTGCCATTCTGCAGGAAGACACAACCTTGTGAGTAGTCCATGAAGGGGAAAGGCCAGCATGACCCATGTGTTAAAAGAACGTAAGTGCACAAGCAGTCATTTCCCTGGTGAAAGGCAGGAGCTAGCAGCTAGCAAGTGGATATTCAATGCTGGGTTGACTGTGCAATACTGAAACAACCCATGGCAGCTCTTCCCCATTATGGCCCTGCACCTCCTTTTAACACAATGGACTGCAATCATATGCTGTCACTTCCTTGCTGTCTGCTTTGTAATGACTTGGGCAGCTGGCCAGGCTTGTTTCTGAGCACAGCATGATTACCTAGTCCAGACAAAATGGTTATTGGAAGGAGTTCCATTCAGAAGGTGACCTCGTTGAACACTTTGACTTTAGTGGAAGGAAACACTGGCTCACATTTGATTTGAAATGCCTGGTAACACAACTCCTGGTGTCACTCAAAATAGTCAAGGACTCCAAAGGAACCTTGCAAACAAGCTACCTGGCCAAAAAAAGTCTCAGAGGGGAAGCCATATTGGTCTGTAACTTTAAAAACAATTAGTGGTCCTATGATACCTTAGACTTAGAGGCTAACCAAAATACATAGAATCACGAGCTTTCACGGGTAAAAGCTACTTTATCAGATGAACTGTCAAACTGGACAGTCTCTATGACAAAGGATAAGTGGACACAAATCAGACATTAGGAATGGTAACACACATAAATCTGTAGGGGAACAGTTGGTCATCCTATCATGGATTTAAAAGCAGCCATTCTTCCACAAAGGAATTTCACAAATCAGTTACAGAGAGAGTCTGCAGAACTGGAATTAATCTACGGATTTGACACTGTTCTTTGGGCTTGAAGAAAGACATAAACTGATTGGTGCATTACAAAGCCAATTTCTCCTGCCATGAACATCTGCATTTCCACATCAAAAGCTATATATGGGACACATCCAGCCCACTTAATTAGCCTCATTAACATGGGTCCTACAATTGACAGGCACTTCTGCTCTTATATCTCCCTTTTGGGGTTTATTATTTCCATTCCAATTCATCTAATGAAGTGGGTTTTTCCCATGGAAGTTCATAATTCTGTATATTCTGGTTAGCCTATAGGGACATGCCTACACTAGGAAAAAATATTTCGAAATAACTTATTTTGAAATAATAACTCCCAAAATAACTATTTCGATATAGGGTGTTCACACTACAGGGAAGCCTCGAAATTAGTCCGAGGCGGCTCCCTTAATGTGGACACACTACCTTGACTTAGCGCCCCAGGAAGCACTGGGGAGTAATTACTTTGAATGACTCTGGGGAGTAGTTATTTCAAAATAACAGCTGTGAAGTATCCACACTGCCATTATTTTGAAATAACTGTTTCAAAATAAGCATGATTCCTTGTGGGAAGCAGGAGTTGTTATTTCAAAATAAGCAGCCCTTTATTTTGAAATAATGGTCTTGATAGTGTGGAAGCTCTGCTTGTTATTTCTAAATAAGGGCCTGGTTATTTTTAAATAATTCCTTAGGCTATGTCTAGACTGCAAGCCTCTTTCAAAAGAGGCTCTTTCGAAAGCGTCTTTCGAAAGAGCCTCTTTCGAAAGAGAGCGTCTAGACTGCACGGAGAAATTTCGAAAAAGCGGCTTGCTTTTTCAAAAGAAAGCATCCAGTGAGTCTGGATGCTCTCTTTCGAAGAAGCCCTATTTACATTGAAGAACGCCTTCTTTCGAAAGAGGAACTTTCGAAAGAAGACGTTCTTCCTCGTAAATTGAGGTTTACCGCCATCGAAAGAAAAGCCGCGTTCTTTCGAATTAATTTCGAAAGAACGCGGCTTGAGTCTGGACGCAGGGGAAGTTTTTTCGGGAAAAGGCTACTTTTCCCGAAAAAAACCCTGAGTCTGGACACAGCCCTGGTGTAAACCATGGCGAAGTTTCCATAGGACCACTCGTTGTTTTTAAAGCTACCTGGCATCACTGTTCCATTCCTTGTTTAGAGTTTAAGGGTATGTCTACACAGCAAAGTTATTTCGGAATAACAAACATCATTCCAAAATAACAATGTGAGTGTCTACACAGCAATTCCACTATTTCAAAATAATTTCAAAATAAAGGGAGGCTTATTCTGGCTTCTGTAAACTTCATTCTATGAGGAATAATGCCTATTCCAAAGTAAATATTTCGAAATAAGGTGTGTGCAGATGCTCCACTTCTGCTATTTCGAAATAGCCCCTCACCAGGGCCATTCTAAGTTATTCCTCCTAGGGTTCTAAATCAAGATAGCACATCTACATTAGGGAAGCCTGCCTCGGACTAATTTGGAGGCTTCCCTGCAGTGTAAACATGCTATTTTGAAATAAACTATTCTGGAATAACTTCTGGAAAAGGTTATTCCAAAATAACTGCATTTTAGACGTAGCCTAAGCCCCTAAAGGCAGGAAGCATATCTTATCCCTTGTCTTATTCAAACCTAAACACATTTTCAGTGTTTAGCCAAGGATCAACAGTAAGAATAACATTAAATTCAACCATGGCTAGGTCAGAGGGCTATTATATACTCTGATGTTACTTACTAGTTAGTGCTTCCCGCAGATGCTGTGCTTTCCAAATATTAACAAGCTTACATAACACACTTGGGAGTTGGGGTAAGTAGGTATCATTGCCTGCGCAATTAAGATGATTTCAGGTTGTGGAACAGTTTATCAGGCACGTATGTTACTTTCAGGAAAAAAAAAGGATCCCGCTTTCAAAGCCAAAATGTATTCAAAGTGTTCCTTCTGGAGTTCTTCATTAAAAGGCCTTTTTATGGGCATATTACATTCCTCCAGAGTCCTCAGTGCAATAACATTAAGAAATCATGGCTTTTTCTTCAGATCCTTTCCCCCTTAAAACTGACAAAATGGATCACTACAGTACACTGCACACTCATTATAGCCTTTGCAGTTTCCGAAATGGAACCACGGCTTTCTTCCGTTCTCTCAGACTATAAAAAATAGAGAAAAGCAAATGAGAAATTATTTTAAAAAGCCACATGCCTCCTTCTCCTCTTCATTCATACCTTGCCAAAAAAATCACAGATTTTCAGACAACTGAGAAATCCTTGAGACCTGTCCTTCAAACCAGCCCGAATGTCTGTGTAGCTTTTATACCTAATAGCACTCTGGAAAAAAAAAACACAACCGGACAAAATTGACTGAACATGTCATGATCCCAGTGTTTGCCTGGGACTTTTGCTTTATGGGAATCAGCAGCTGCATAAAATTGATGAGAAGAGGGGAACTCCCATGCTATTTTTCAGTGTGAATGAAAATAAGTGGCTCCCACTTTCACACATATTGATCTATGCCACCGAGTTCCCGGGTGATAGGGTTGGTTTTATGCACCCACATGGAAGAACGGAGGCAAAACAATGAAGTTGGCTGCACTGCCTCATTCTGGCGAGTTGTTGGTGTAGCATTTTGGCAGGAGAGGGCACGTGGCAGGACAAACACACAATCTGGCAGCATCACAGCTTGGACCAGCCTACCATAATGATGATGGTTTTTTTTTAAATGATCTTCAATATAGTCAGCAAGGATCAAATGCTTTCCTACCTGCATTTTGAGTTCTGGCACATGTTTATTGTGGCCGTAGTCAGGAGCAGGGCCTGCGTGATTCTGTGCAGACAAAAGCAGACCTACACTTCTAGGCATAACTGCAAGCAAACCTCTGAAATGATTGAAGTTTGGGATGTATTTTGCTTTGTCAGCCAAATCCTAGCTCCTCTCTTCCCTGCCTGAATGAGGGCGTTCTGAATGGGGCATGATGATACCTCCTGTATCATGTG